TTTACATATATGTCATATGTCTAAAATGAAGACATCCTGCCTGAGTGATTGGGGACACACGGGCATCCTGAGTTTGGGGACTGTTACATACATTCTTTGTACCCCCACAGTGCTGAGCAACTAAATACTCCACAACACATACAGATTGATGACAATTTCCCCCCAAATATTTTTACACATGCATGCAAACAATCGTGGCTCCACTGGGCTTTAACCACAGTGACATTATCAGGGAATTATTACTAAAAAACTCATGAGTATAACCATAAATCAATAAAAAAATGTTTGGAGATTTTGTCGTTATTGGCCATTTAACTAATTTTTTATTCATTTTTTCCTGATTACAAAAAATAATACATGCTCATCAGAAAAATCAAAACCTTGCTGAAACATATAAACTATTCAAACATTAAAGTTAAACACGTACAACATTAGGACGGTGATTCAAAGTAAAGTAATTGAGAGAGGGTCCCAGGATTTGACAGGCTTTGTAGGGACTTAAGTATGAGGGACTCTCTCTCCATTTTCTGAGAGCTAATTTGCAGGTGAGGAGGCTCTTGCCTGATAGACAGGTCTATATAGTCACTTTTAAGTTGTCTGTAAATGTTTCTTCAGAAGATAAGTCTACTGAAATACCTGTATAGGAAGGTGAGATAAGTTCAATGTTTGGGAACAAACTAAACTTACATAAATGCTCAGGTAGGCCCCTTGGAGAAGCTTTAATGTTAGGCCAGGGTGGGAACCAACTGGATCCAAGAGTATATGTCCAATCCCAGCTATCTGCATCAGGAGACTAAGAGCAAGGGTAGGGCTCCCGTCTTCAGGATTTTCTCTTTCTTCCCTAGTCATGTTTGCTCCTCAAATCATGTCCCATGGAAGGATCCAGACAGTTCAATACAAGCTTTCTGGTCTGCTGTAATTGACATGGTGAAGACAGACCTAGACTTCTTGTCAAAGTACTAGATGTCTTCTGGCTTTATCATTTACTAACTGGAGAGCGGCTTAAACTCAGGGTGTGTCCCCATGTTCTCATTCATCGATGAGAGTAGTGCTACTGCCCTGTCTCTTTCATAAGTGTGTCAGGAGATTAAAATGAGGTCAAGAATATGAAATAGCTTTGTAAACTCTTCCTGCGTGTGTGCAGGTTAGAGGGCAAGGCAATAATTCCTCACTGCTTGCATGTTTGCTTTTGATTTGGAAAAACTGACTTGAGGTGGAGAAAAGTGCACATTGAAGCCTGAAATCATAAAAAGGAAACTAATGGCTCAAACAAATGCCAGATTTATTTATAAGTGGTGAATAATGGAAAATGAACTTGATGTACTAAGCAGGCAGAGGAATATTTGGGTTTCAAAGCTTCCCTACCCCATCTCTCCTTGAAAGGAACAAAGGAAAGAAGAAAGGAAAAAAAGAAGGAAGGAAGGAAGGAAGGAAGAAAGGAAGGAAGGAAGGAAGGAGGGAAGGAAGGAAGGAAGGAAGGAAGGAAGGAAGGAAGGAAGGAAGGAAGGAAGGAAGGAAGGAAGGAAGGAAGGAAAGAAGGAAATATACCTTGAAGAACAGCATAATTAGAAAGGAGAACATAACTCGTGGACAAAGACACTCAGGGAGAAAATATTTATCTAATTTCTCTGGCTAGACTGAGCTCTTCTTGGGTAGGACTAGATCTTATTCATCTTTGTGGGTCCTACTCTTTGTAAAGTATGTGTCATGTCCTAAAAACTATTTAGTATGAGTCATATGGCACTGCCATTTTTGTAGATCAAAAAAACAGTCTAATATTGGCAATGCCATACGAGTCAACTTAATAAATGTTAGATAAAGATGCAAGAGACCTATGGGTCATATTCGTTCAGTCAACCTTAACCTTTGGTCTCTTATAACACCTCCTTCCACCTCCAGCACCAGCCCACAGAGGTGGGACTTCTCTTACACTCTCTGTAAGATTCATGCCTCTCTTTGAAGGCTGCCCCCTCAGAGTTCCCTTGAGCTTGAACATCTTTAGATATTAAGCACATGCTGTACCAGTCTCCTCTTCTTATAGTCTCCATACTGCTAAAGAGAGGGCTTCATTATGACCCAAATTTAAATTTCCATTTCATTTGATAGACATAATAGACTCCAGTCAAACAAAATGGGTGTTCTTCACTGGGGCATTATACAGATTTTTTTTTTTTCCTTTTTGTCTTTTTTTTCGTGTCTGGCAACGGATCGCAACCCTCAGTGTCGCGCCAGTACCGGACCGGGACCGGCAACGGGATCGCGACCCTCGGTGTCACACCCGCACCTCGCTCAGCCAGTGAGCGGGAACCGGTCTGTATGTGGGATCCGAACCCTCAGCGGGAGTGCCACCGCACTCCCAAGCAGCGCACTGTAGCAGTGCGCCACCGGGCCGGCCCTATACAGATTTTTTTTCTTTTCCCTTTTCCTCTTCCCTTCCCTCTCTTCTCCCCCCCCCATCCCTTCTCTCATTCCTTCCTCCTTTCTCTCTTTCTTTCTCCCTTCCTTCCTTCTTTCCTTCCTGGTGACACAGGGAGACATTTTCTCCGTTCTGTGCAGGGAGCCTGAGTGAAGCCCCAGGCCTTTAGGCTGGAGAGGAGATACACCCAATGAATTGGGCATGGCAGAGCTTATAGCGCAGGTTCCTAGAGAGGACCCCTGGGTCTCACACCCTTCTGCACCCCTCATGATGCTGAACATTGGACAGGGGCCATGTTGAATGAGATATATGTGGATCAGTGGATCTCAAGTTAAGGTCATGAACTTCCATTTCTCCTTCCATATATTTGTTACTTTTCTTTGGTTTTGTCTGAACAATGAAGTTTGGCAGTGTTGGGCTCTGTGATAAAGTTGCATAACATTCATTCTGTACACAGCCATTTTTGCATCATATCATTGACATGAAGAACAGCATTGCAAATGCTGTTTTTATTATAATGACTATATACAGAAGGGTTGAAGGGTTTGATTTTATAAAATAAATCCGGTCATCAGCTCCCCCTTGCTGCAAACCAAACAGCAGGAGAGAACAGGTCCCGGTCGAGGTAGCACAATGACCATGTGCACACACTAGAAAGTCAGCTCAAAGGGCAGGCATTTCTGCCTGCTTCATTCCCTGCCAGGGCCAAGAACAGAGCTGGGAATGACGTGCTGTAAGGGAACAGGTTAAAGTTAACAGAATAACTATGACACTTAAATCTTTTGCATCTTTATCTAACACTAATAAGACACATATTAGATACTTAAGAAATGGTCATTGAATGGATGAATACCCAGAGCAATTCAACTATTAAGTTGATGTTCTCAAAATTCCATAACTAATCAGTTCACTAGTCATACATCCCCTCTAAGACTCTGTTTCCTCATTTCTAACATGAGGATAACTGTACCTATTTGGTAGGATTATTGCGAGAATGGAATGAAAATCGATGTAAAGCACAGTGACCAACATAACAGTAGGCACTTAATAAATGTCATTGCCTTTTCCCTTCATGCCCTTCTAGTTTCCTCAAAAATAAACTGTGTGTGTGTGTGTGTGTGTGTGTGTGTGTGTGTGTGTGTGTGTGTGTGAATGTGTCTGCGGGGGTGGGGAGGCTAGAAGAAACAAGTTGTTCAGTTCATGTTGTTCAGGGTTTCTCCACCCCCCGCTATGCCATTTTAGGCTGGATAACGATTTGCTGTGGGGGGCTGTCCTGTGCATTGTAGGATGTTTAGGAGCATCCCTGCCTTCTACCAACTAGATGCCACTTACATCCCCTTACTGAGACAACCAAACATGTCTCTAGATGTTGCCAAATGTTCCCTGGGAGACAAAATTGCCCCCTTTTAAAAACAACTGCTGTAGTTCTAATCACCCATTGAATAGTTAAAATATTTTATTTATAAAGAAGTTGTTCGGGTACTGTATAGACATTACCTGTGGCTATATTATGTTTAAATGTATATAAAGGGAAGGTTTATACAGAAAAAGAAAACAGCAAATATCAAATTGAAGTATATAATCAGCCCATAATTATTCATGAAGTGAATAATGATGTAGACAATAAAAAAAATTATTTCCATCACACAATTTCCCTGCATTAGATTGTTTTTCTAATCATGGTTGGTTTAGGTTAAATATAGTAATAGTAATCCATTTCGTGAACACACCCTGACAAATGACAGGGAGAGATGGTGAGTGTACATGGCGAGAAGACATCTGAGTTTCTTAAATCTTCATGGATACCCAGAAAGTGGGTGCTTTAACCACTGGTGTTCGAACTGTGTATCAGTGGCTTTTCAGTTAAAGTTTATTCCCAGTTTAAATTGCTTGTCTTTTCAGTAAATTTCCATAACTAACCTTTCATTCTGTTTCTTCCTGTCCACCCTTTCAGATAACGCCTCTGGCGTGGAAGTCACAGTGTGCCTAAGGTTTTTTTTCAGGATTGTTGAGGTTAGCTTGGCCCAAAACAAACTGGGCTAGGCTGACAGAGCCTGCAGACCTCTCTACTGAGCCTGCACGAATATCTGACCATTGAAGTCTGAGGGCGAGGGCTCCACCTCCAGATCCTGTTAACACACCCATCTTCTGAACATGCAGATGGCCTGTGCTGGCACAGTCACTGAAGGACTCCTTCAACCCCTTTAACCAATCACAATTCTCCACGCCTTGCACTGCCCTTAACTGCTTCCCCGTAAATGTGCCATCCTCCTTATTGCAGATAAGACAGATCTGAGATGCGAATCTCCCATCTTCTCACAATAGCTGCCTTGTGATTAAACCTTTCTCTACTGCAAGACACGTTCTTGGGTGATTTGGTTTTCCGTGGTGCATGGGCAAACTAACCCCACTCGGTCTGGTAACAACTGCTTTGTTCATTAGCAACCCTAAAAAAGTAATGGCAGGCTAGCAGGTGAGCTCAGTTGGTTAGACTGAGGTGTTACAACACCAAAGTCAAGGGTTCAGATCCCTGTACCAGCCAGTGCCAAAAAAAGAAAAGAGTAATGTCAACATTCATACTTACAGGTGAATTAAAGACTTTAGTCCCCGGAAAGTATGTCTTGAAATGGACTTGATGTTGTTGTTTTCAATGAATCTGCAACAGGTTATAATATTTTTGTCAGACAGCTGTAGGAATTTGAGCATTTGTTCTGAATCATCGTGTGAAAAAAAAAAAAAAGTATTTTTTACTTACAAATACTCTAGATGTGGAAGACCAATAAAAGCATCATCACTGATCATGTCAAAGGAGTTTGATGTGAATAACCTGCCCAGAAAAATACACAATGGAAACGGTTAAACTAGCAGATTGTCAATCTTTGCAGCTCTTATCATGCATAGGAACAAGTAGTTGTATACAGAAAATGTCTGGATGTCTGTCTTCCACAGTGCTATTTAAGCACATAATCTTTGTAGCTTTTTTTACTCCTAATGATCTCCTCATCAAATGCACATCGAAGGGGGCTCTGTACCCCACTCCTCACAATGATGGCTGTCACGTGCCCCGGGTAACATTTTGAGATACAATAGGGCAGGTACGACAGCCAAAGCAGCCCAATCAACATTTTGCACGTTTTCATGGCAAAGACACTAACAATCTTTTCTACTTGCTCTGGAAACCTCTGTCGCGTTCTGACTGTCCAAAACAATGGTGCTTTGGTGTTTGAGGCCTGGGAAACCAAGAGAATTTTAGCTCTGTGTCCAGGTGTGCTGTGATATCTCATGGCTGCCAGGCCATTGACACGGGCTCAGGAATGTCAACTAACTTCCTTCTTTGAAAATAGGACAGATCGAAGACGAGAAACATTGAGGCTTAGACCCATTTTTATTGATAAATAGTTGAAAAAACACTTTCACTTGGACAAATTTATTTATAATTTAAAAATCCGCAGGGATTTGCTTTTGAAATTATTGATGAAAACATCAACCAGATGTTCTTCCTCACACTCTGGAGAACTTGCCAGTTTTCAGAATGAGAGGCTTAAAACAGGTACTTTTAGGCCAAAGAATACAATAATATATTATATAATAATATAATAATATAACAACAGCAGTAATAATTCTGTTAGTAAACCTTGTGACTTTTACTTTTGAAGTCCAGGGGTTAAAAATAACTGCCACTAATGAGCTCAGTGACTTTACTCTGGGCCTGTTAACTAGGAGATCTCACTTTCTGAACATTTATGAGCAGTTTATTTGACATCTGAGATTGCTTCAGAATAATCAGGGAAGGGAGACATCAAGGAATTAGAAATGAATTGGGCATCTGCTGATAATTTTTGACACTGAAAGATGGGTAAATAGGAGTGAATTTTACTATTTTTTCTACTTTTATATATGCTTGAAATTTTCCATTAAAATGGGTGGTGGGAGGGGGATAAACCAAACAACAAAATGAGATCCTCGCTTGCATTTCTTCCTAAACTAACAATCCTGGAGTAGTGTTGGATTCTCTTCTAATCCCTACTCCCTCAAACGTCATAGTTTTATAATTAATTTATTCCCTAGGCTCTCACAAGCCAACACTAATAAACAGTGATACATATTAGAGCTCCATTGTTGTAAAAACTAATTCAAAGATTTATGATTTCCGTCACAATTCTAGCAATTGTCTCTTCTGGGAAACAAAAAGATGCTCAGCCTTCCTCCAAGGTAAACTAACATCCAAAAGCTTCCTAAGGTTCCAGACTTTTGTTTCATTTTGTATAGGCAGCATTGGGGTTGGGGGAATGGAATAAGGCAGAAATAGGTACAGAGAAATACCTCCCATGCTCACTGGTTGGTTTGCAAACTGTCCCACAGCTGGACCAGCGACTTCATAATTACATGCGCCAAGTCACCAGAAGAAATAGCTTCCATTGCTAGTTTCCCTTATGTTAAATCAGATGCAGAACAGAGCGGGAAATGGGTATTAGTGGGCAGAACTTGCCCGCACATGTCACGGAAACAAAAGAGAGGATTTCCACTAGAATTTTTGTCTGAGTGTTCATTGCTTATCCCTAGCACCTGTAATAGTGAACACTGAATAAATATTTGTTGAGCAAAGAGGAATTCACTTTACATTCAATTCTGATCACTACCAGATTACTAGAGTGAACGTTCCTTACAGCAGGGATTTACCCTTATTTGTTTTTGTGTCCCCCATCAGGGGCACAGGTCCTGGCTGAATAATGTTTGTTGAACTGGACTTCAAGGACTAAAATCTCTGGCTAAAACTACAACTACATGCAAAAATCTGGGTGAGTATTTGAGGAAAAGAAGCCAGAACACAAGGAAGTATATTCTATTTGATGGCACTTACATAATGTACAAAACCCAGCAAAACTAACATGATGGTAGGAGTCGAGATACTGATTACTCTTGGAGGTGAGTAGTAACTAAAAGGGAGCACAGCGGGTGTCTTCGGGGTAATGATAAAGCTTGGTTTAGTGACCTGCGTGCTAGTTACTGGGGTGTTCACTTTGTAAAAAATCAAGGTGTACACTTATGATATGTGCGCTTTCCCTTATGCATATTACACTTCAATTAAAAAGTTTTTATAAAAGCTAGAAAAAATTCCTCTGACTAAGATAATAATAAATACCATAGTCCTTCAATTCTAGATTCACTTTTAGTTTATATGGACAAGGACGTATAAAACTATATATACCTTCTAAATATGGTTGGATGGGCTATCCATTTTATTATCTTATGTATACTTAAAAGGCTCCTGTATCATGTTTTATAAAAAGGGTGAAATTTCAATCTTTCATTTTTAAAATATGTTTGATTTCAATATTATGATTTGTTATTGAACCAGGTATGTGACGGTAGCTCACAGTCCCCATTAAGGGAAACTGCACCCACCCTACCGCGTGTTTACACACAGCAGACCTGGGGCCGACCAGGGTGGCTGCATTTTATACTACACAACCACCAGCCCTTTCCATAGATTATTAGGGCAAGAAAGATTCAGCTCCTGCCCCAGAGTAGCCAACCTCTAGGTTGGGCAGCATCCCACGGCTCAAGAAGCCTGGGTCAAAAAGGTGAGTTGAGCTAAGATTAGATCCTTCCTAGGGATTTGGCAAACTGAGAAATGGAGCCAGCCAGCAGAAGAACTGAAGGAAAAAGGATGCCTCAGAGTTGAGTTGGATCCATGGTGGGCAAAAGGGGGTGCAAGGAACACTTTGGAGAGAGCAGAATGTGGAGCAGACCCCACAAAGGGAAGTGTGTTTGAAGGTGGGCACGGGAGGGACGCCGAGATCTGCGTTAGATCCTAAGCCAGGGATTCTCAATCTCAGTTGCACTTGGAATCACCTAGGGAGCTTTAAAAATACTGATATCTTGCTCCCACACTCAGGGATTCTGGTTAAATTATACACCTGGAGTGTGGCCTGGGATATTTAAAAGCTCCCCAGGTGACTCATAAGCATCCAGGGATGCACATGGTAAGCTTTCCAGGTCTAAACACCACCCCCTCTCTACCCGTGGTGACTGAGGGGCCTCTGCTCCTTGCAGCAAGTCTGACCGGAGCAGCTGCTG